CGCTGACGATTTATAGAGAAATGACTTGTACTTTTGTCCCTTTGATGACAACAAAACTTATTAATATCAACTAGAAATCAGCCAACATCAGACAAGTCTTTGTCTTTAGCGAAGTATAAAAAAATTCTCTTTACCTTGTAAAGTTGAAAGAAAATATTTTTTTTCAGATGTTAGTCCACTTATTCAATTTATCTTATAATTATTGCATCTCTTCTGAATTTTTCATATAAGATTAATATTTGCTTAGTAAGATTTTGGAGGGTCCTTTTATAATAGAATTTTTGGGAAAAAATATCTCAAACGTATGACATTTCTCAAGAAATTATAATTTTTTATTACGACATTTAACGTTTTCATATGATATATATAACAACTATATAGGTTTACGATGATTATATTTCTTATGACAGTCAATATATAACCAACATAACACAAATTAATGGTTATTATATATTTTGTTGTCAAAATTAAGAACCTTACTTTCTATTTTCTCTATTTCAAATTAAAGATTATATTTTCGGTCAAAATTTTGAAGAATATTAAGTATTTAAATATAATTATTATTTTTTCTTATATAATATTTAACAATACTAGTAATCTAATTAAATTTTAATTCAAACAAAAATTAGACATTTTATATTAGCCGAAATCAGAATAGTGCCGTGATGCGGTGGTGGTTCAGTATGCTCTAGAGTTCGACAAATATCCAACTCATGCTGAAAGAGTATGTAGACCCACGTGTCGGAATTTGTTTGGCCAATATTGTTTCCGGGGGCTCACGTGTCTCTTTTCCATACTACACGTCGGGGACATAAAAAAATATGACGTACTGTCCTTTACAGCTGCTTCGGTCACGAGGCGACGTCATATGACACGTCACATGACAAAAGAAAAAAAAAAAAAGAGTAAGGTTCTTCAGTCGGTTTTTCCCTATATAAGCAACCCGTTCTTGTTTCCGCTTATCCACACCGCTTTAGCAGTCGAATTCTTAGGTTTATAAAAAATCACTTAAATTTTCGATATCCTTGCACCTTTTGTTTTTGCCTTCGCATTTCCTGCTTCCCAATATCGACATCCATGGCTGTTGCTTCAACTGTCCCGTCCCGGCTCGATTCTCTGGCGTCCGACAAGGACGCGAAGGCTCTTCAGTTCATTGAAGAGATGACGAGAAATGTTGATTCGGTTCAGCAAAGGGTTTTACGTGAGATCCTAAGCCGAAATGCTGAGACCGAGTATCTCAAACGGTTCGGCCTCAATGGAGCTACGGATCGGGAGACATTCAAGTCTCGAATCCCCGTCGCCGGTTATGAAAATATCCAGCCTGATGTTCAACGTGTCGCCAATGGTGACAAGTCTCCTATCTTTTCAGCTCACCCCATTCTGAGTTCCTCACTAGGTAACATCTTTAGCAAATAAAAATGTTTTCTTCTCTAAATCATTTCACCGAGATTTGCTTCTGAATAATGTATGGATTTTATTTTTGTGGGGGGGTTAATTTGCAGCTCTGGGACTTCAGGTGGAGAAAGGAAGCTGCTGCCAACAATTCATGAAGAAACAGATCGTCGTCAGCTCTTGTATAGCCTTCTCATGCCTGTAATCAACCTGTGAGAATCTTTTGTATACTATATTATTTGATCTTTGTTGAAAGCAAAGTTTGATATTTTTGTGTTTTCATGGTGGGTGGTAGTTACGTTCCTGGATTGGACAAAGGGAAGGGACTTTACTTCTTGTTCGTTAAAGCTTCAACAAAGACACCTGGTGGGATATTAGCCCGCCCGACGCTCACCAGCTACTACAACAGCGACCAGTTCAAGACTCACCGGTATGACCCTTTCAATGTCTACACCAGCCCCAACGAGGCCATCCTTTGCACCGACTCTTTTCAAAGCATGTATGCTCAGATGCTCTGTGGTTTGGTCACGAGGGACGAGGTTCTTCGTGTCGGTGCCGTTTTCGCCTCCGGCTTGCTTCGAGCCATTCACTTCCTCAAACCAACTGGAAAGAGCTGGCTCGTGACATCGCGAACGGAACATTAAACCCTAAAGTAACCGACGCTTCGGTTCGAGAATGCATGGAGAAGATCCTGAAACCGGATCCAGAGCTAGCTGAGTTCATTACAATGGAGTGTTCGAAGGAGAATTGGGAACGAATCATCGTTAGAATTTGGCCCAACACGAAGTACCTTGACGTTATCATAACTGGAGCAATGGCTCATATGTCTCAATACTCGAATATTACAGTGGTGGCCTGCCAATAGCTTCCACCATTTATGGTTCGTCGGAGTGTTACTTCGGTCTCAATCTTAATCCGATGTGCAAACCATCCGAAGTCGCGTACTCCATCATGCCAAACTTGGCGTACTTTGAGTTCTTGCCTCTTGAATCATCATCACCTTCCGGCGCTGTTGATCTCGCCGATGTCGAAATCGGCAAAGAGTATGAGCTCGTTGTCACCACTTACGCCGGATTGTGCCGTTATAGAGTCGGCGATATCTTCATGTCATCGGCTTTCACAACTCGGCCCCGCAGTTCCGTTTCGTCAGAAGAAAGAACGTTTTGTTGAGCATCGAGTCAGACAAAACCGATGAAGCCGAGTTACAAAACGCAGTAGAAAAAGCTTCTCTTTTGCTGAAGGAATTCAACACCAGAGTGTTGATTACACGAGTTACGCGGACACTATCAAATCCCGGGTCACTATGTCATTTACTGGGAACTACTCGTTAAAGACTCGGCTAATGCCCCAACGGGCGACTTTTGAGCAGATGCTGCTTACAGATGGAGGAATCATTGAACTCAGTGTACCGTCAAAGCCGAGTTGCCGACAAGTCAATCGGTCCTCTGGAGATACGAGTGGTACAAAACGGCACGTTGAGGAGTTAACGGATTATTCAATTTCAAGGGGTTCTTCTATGAGTCATACAAAGTTCCAAGATGCGTTAGCTTTACCCCAATCGTGGAACTCCTGAACTCAAGGGTGGTTTCAAAACATTTCAGTCCATGTTTACCACAATGGACCCCAGAACGTCGTCGTTGAGCCACTGCATTAAAGTTCCAGATATAATCTGCATGGTAACGAACATTTTCTGCCCAGGGAAAGTGAAAAAAAACCTGAAAATATTAGAATTATTATTAGCTTTTAAAAGGGTTGTCTGTCACTTGCTATTGCTTCTTAAATTTGTCTTTTTTTTTTCCTTCTCTTTTCTATAAATAAAGCTGAGAGACAGTGGCATAAAGATGAATGTAAGTCATCTCATGAATAGCTACTATGATATAATTATGTGTACGATGATGGTATACGTATGTTGTCAAAAGCTGTAATTTTAAATAGTGTGTGTAATGTTATATACACACACTATTTATAGTTACATCAGACCAAATCGGATCAAATTTTTTATAGACAAATTGAAAGTTACAATGGAAGCTGGAAACCGAAACGACACGTTTAGGGGTTGTAGTTCTTTACTTGTTTATTTTAGTTAGTTCGGTGCGAAGTTCATTTCAGGTACCCTCCGAGGCGCTGAATATATATATATATATCTCGATATCGAGCTTTCTTCAATTTCATTCGTCTCAGCCGGAGCCGCCGCACTTGACATGGCACGGGCATTTGTTAACATCGCCGTCGAAACCGTCGGATCTTCCTCTTCTGTGTTCTCTCCCAATCAAATCCTTCCACATCGTCATCACCACTCCCTCCCCCTCCACTTACTATGGCGCGCCTTCCGCCGTGATCCTCCCTCTCTATACTTCTCCGAAGAATTCCTCTAGAACCTTATCGAACTCTCCTCGTCGCCTCCTAAGATCTGATTCTCACTCTTCCCATCCAAACGCTCGCATGAGACTCTACGATGATCTCGTCCTAAACGGGTATAAATAATCACATTATTGTCTTTGATCTTTTTTTTTTCCTTTTTCTTTAACTGATATTTTCGAGGAATTGAAATTTCGAAGGTATTACACTACGCGGCTTTGGATCGGGACACCTCCGCAGCAATTTGCACTTATAGTGGATACCGGAAGTACTGTTACGTACGTTCCTTGCGCCACTTGCGAACAATGTGGTAGCCATCAGGTAGTGTTAAATTTTCGTTCGTGATTTTCCCCTGCTTGTTTTCTATTTACTTGATCGTTTTTGGACATACAGTGTATTCCAAGCAGGTTAGATTAGATCTGATCTAATTTGAGAAATGACCTTTTTCGATTTCTAAGCATCACTCTAGTTTTGAGATTTCATTCAGGCTTATTTGATTGCTTCTTTTTAATATTGAAAATTTTGAATGTAAATTAGCTTGGAATATTGATAGAAGATGGATTGTTTAATTGTTGATATATAATAATTAGTTTTACGTTTTGGTCATCTGCTTTTTGTTTATTGTTAAATATGTTTCTGATTTCGCTTTCTCAGGATCCGAAGTTTCAGCCCGAATTATCCAGTTCATACCGACCTGTAAATTGCAGTTTGAATTGCAATTGTGACACTGACAGGGTGCAATGCATTTATGAGAGACAATATGCTGAAATGAGTAGCAGTAGTGTGTCCTTGGTGAGGATATCATTTCATTTGGGAATCAAGTGAACTTGTGCCTCAGCGTGCGGTTTTTGGCTGTGAAAATGAAGAAACTGGTGACCTTTACAGTCAACATGCTGATGGCATTATGGGATTGGGTCGTGGTGATCTCAGTGTGTTGACCAACTTGTTGCGAAAGGTGTAATTAGTTCTTCTCATATGTTATGGAGGGATGGATTGGTGGGGGCGCCATGGTTCTTGGAGGCATATCTGCCCCATCAAACATGGTCTTTAGTTATTCGGATCCTGTTCGGAGGTATGTTTTGTAAACGATTTTATCTCCAAGATAGAATATGTCATCAACTTCCTAAAATACATTGATACATCTGACACATTTACTCTAGTTTCGGGATGGCAACAGTCCATATTACAACATTGATTGAGAGAGATACATGTTGCGGGGAAGCAGCTAAATCTGAACCTAGAGTCTTTGATGGAAAGTATGGAACTGTTTTGGACAGTGGTACAACATTTGCGTATCTACCAGAAGCAGCATTTTTGGCATTTAAGAAGCTGTAAGATCAATTCCCATGAATGAATCATATTTTGTTAAGTTTAGTAGACCTATTAGTATGTTCTTAGTGGACCCTCTTTGTCTCCAAGCTGAGTAATTTGTGGATTTTTAAACGACTTAAAACTTTTCCTCCTTAATGCTTAGTCTGGGGGATATTTGACGTTTTATTCTGACAATTGCACTGTTTATCTGGAATTTTATACATGGTTGTAAGGGCATGAGAGAGCTACATGCTCAACAGGTTGATATTTAACAGTCAAACTTAACACTTTTTTTGTGCTTTTTCTTCTCTCTATTAATCATTTTTTGCATCTTTCTATTGCAGATCTTTAAAGAACTTAATAGCTTGAAGCAGGTCCATGGCCCTGATCCAAATTACAATGATATATGCTTCTCTACTTCGGTCAGTATCACTCACCCTGAGTACGGTAATAGAAACACTAGAGAGCTTTTAATTGTTTTTCTGCTGTGGTAGTAACAGTTTGTTTTTCGGCTCTAGTGATGTCTCTGAACTCTCAAAAACATTTCCAAAAGTTGAAATGGTATTTGGACGTCAGCAAAAATTAGCGCTATCACCTGAGAATTACTTATTCGGGCAAGCTTTTCATACAGTAATTGCTTTTCCGTTAATTGAAGTTGGTTTAGAAAGAGTTGTTTTTGAGTTCAATTGTGTTTTGTGCTTATCTTATATTCATATAGCATTCAAAGATCCACGGTGCATATTGTCTTGGCATCTTCCAAAACGAAAAGGATCCAACAACCCTTCTAGGAGGTATGTTAGGTTTCATATAACTAGTGTTTCATGATGTTATTCCTGTTAAAGTAAATTCTTCTTTGGCAAAGTTTTTGCAAATATCTCCAATTTGAAATCCTAAGCTTCAGTTTGATTCCATGAAATTTCTTGACTGTTATTTCGTTCAAAATTAACCATACGTTTGCAATAGGAATCATTGTACGTAATACTCTGGTTACTTATGACCGGGAACAATCGAAAATTGGTTTCTGGAAGACTAATTGTTCTGAGCTATGGGAAATGCTGCACATACGTGGTGCGCCATCACCATCTCCATCGTCACGTGACAGAGTAATTCAACTGAGTCACCAGCTACATCAGCTCCTGATGGATCACCACATGATATTCCAGGTAACATATAAACCATGGTTTTGCATATTTGAACCCATTCAAGGAGTAGAACTCTGTTCTGCTTTTTATTTCATTGCAATGCATGAACAATCAATACTTTGTTAATTATGGTTTCCACGTAAAATTTTTGTATTGTACCATCTTCAAGAAACAATGTTATGTTTCAGTTTCCCTTTTTGTAAAACCTGTATCTATCGAGTCTTTCAGCGGAATTCATTCTGATGACGTTTCGTTCTTGTTTAACAGATGAAACTGAGATGATAAAAATTACATTGGATATGTCATTGAGCACAACTACTCATACCTAAAGCCTCAGATCATCAATCTGACAGAGTTCATTGCTAAGGATTTAGACGTCAATGCTTCACAGGTTCAACAAATACCATCTCCAAATACTATCTTTTAGTTCGCAACTATTTGCCGAACAGTTCGATCTTTTGTCTAAGGTTTCAAATAATCTTTTGCTTTTTTGGATAATTCCAGGTCATTTATTGAATTTTAGTCTGAAGGAAATGGTTCATGTCCGATGGGACATCACCCCTTCAGGATCATCAACTTACATTTCTCATGAGAGTGCAGAGTAAGTCTACTCTTCAAGTTAATTGCAGTTCTTTTGATACAAATATTAGAGCTTTTGGTTGATGAATTTCGTCTTACAGAATATAATCTCTCGACTCGTTGAACACCACGTGAAGCTTCCTGATAGCTTTGGAAATTATAAGTTGGTGCAATGGAAAGTTGAATCTTACATGAAACAGTATGTTCCCCTTTTCTAATGTCCTATTACCCCTCTAAACCGAGAAATCTGAAAGATCAATTTGAATCGAACTATGCAGTTCATTCGATTTGGATTTTTATTTTATGGTTAGATTTCGGTTTGACTTAGACATTTAACTTCACACTGTTTCAATTTCTGTTTTTTATATGAAACTTTGTTTGTTTTAAATTAAACGAATTAAAAAAAAAAGAAAAAGAAAATAATGATGTAGATTAAATTCATATATTTTGTGAATTTAAATTTGTGTTTCTTTACTCGTTTAAGTTCGAAGTTTAGAAACATTGAGTTTGAAAAGTAGTAAACAAATAAAAATGTCAAACCGACCCCAAACCAAAAGTTTTGATTTTCAGGATTCGGTTCATTTTAATGGACCGCATTGTGCGGTTCAATTCATATTTTATATACCTGAAACCACAAATCGGATTACACATTTACTCGACGCTAATTAATGGATGGAAACGAAACAGGACATGGTGGCAGCGAAATGGTGTGCCGGTTGTTGTGGCGGTTATCGTGGTAATAGTGGTTGGATTATCAGTTTATGGAGTTTGGGGAATGTGGAAACGCAAACAACAAAACGGTGAATACATATAAACCTGTTGGTGCAGCTGTTCCGGAACAAGAACTTCAGCCACTATAGTCTCTTTTCGGTTTTGGTTCCAGGTTTGGGATATGGCTTCTGAATCCATATAGTTTAATGGTGAAAGCGTTCTTTTTTCTTCTTCTTGCTCATTATTTCAAGATTAGAAGTATACAAAAGGATTTTCCAAAGTGAGAGGAACTACTAATCAATAAATATGAATCAGTTAAGAGGCTCATTAAACAATATGTATAGGTTTTGATTGACAAGTTTTCTTTTGTTTGCGTTGCAACTTGCAAATCTTCGGCAGACAATATTAGAGGCAAGAGCAGATAGATTTGGGTCTTGGTATTGAAAATTTGGGCACAACATATATAATTTTGAATAATTTTCTTAATATAATTAATGAAATTATTTTCTTCGTTTATTGATTAGAATTTTAATAGAATTAAGTAGGTAGAGATTAATCTTATCATTATAATTTACATATTTATCTTATTTTTTACTTAGAGTTTGCTTGTTTCACAAAAAATAAAAAATGATTTTCATGAAATGAACTATAATTTCTGAAAACCAATTTCTGAAATTCATTTTATTGCATTTAGTTGATGCTATGTAAATTATTTTTTACTAATTGATAAATTTTTAGAAATTATTTATATATATTGAATACAAATAAATAATATTATTTATTAGAAAATAATTATTATTATTTTAAAATATTATAAGAATTTATTTAATATCATATATGTCAATATTATTATTATAATATTATTCTCATAATTTTATAAATAAATATATTAATTAATATATGCTTTTATTAGAATAAAATATTATTTTAAAAAAAAATAATTCAGTTGGTAGAGCACAAGGTCTTAACCTTGATGTCGTGGGATCGAGTCCCAGGGGCTTTTCATAATTCGGAGGTTTCTTACGAATCTGCTCTCAACCTGATGTTGGGTAGTCTACTATCTTACCTCCCCCTTACCCCATACATTGGGAAAAGGGACAACATTTTTTTTGTGTCTATCAAAAGTGCTTTTGAGATTAAAAGTTTTTTAAAACTATAAACAATGTTGGATATAATTTTTAAAGAAAATTAATATAAAAAATGTATTTAAACTAAACGTAAAATTAAAATTTATAGATTTTGATTTTGAGAAAATTAACTATCTTTTACATATCTATAGAGTGTTTTGCTTTATAATTTATAAATTTATCAAGATTAATTATATGATTAATAAAATATTCATGGATTTATTCAGAAAAAATATTTGTTTCATGTCAAATTTTTTAGATAAAAATTATTTTTTAATTTTATATATTTTTATAAATCACTTGTAAAAGTAATTAGTTTTAATGAAAATAATTTATATCTTTTATTATAATTAAATTGATATATTTTAAACAAAAATTTAAAAAATATTTATATATTATATATTATATAATTTAAAAATCATATTTATTATTTATTTTCTGAAAAACACTTCTTAATCAATAGTAAATACTTAATTTTAAATAAAAATACTTATCAAAGCAGTTTGTTTATAATTAAGTAAAAACTTGAATACAGAATAGGTTCATTTTTAGTGTACCTTCCAACTAGAGCATCAAGTTAAGGATCGATCTCCAAATGGTATTTGTTGAGATAAGCATTTAACTCATCGGTTCCGAGAACCTGAAGTTACATTACAGAGTCAGAAGGATTGTGGCATCCAAAACTGAGAATACTTTGTTAGGAAAAGGAAAAAAAACAAGTCAGATAAATTAGAGGTCTGTGAACTATATTAAAATGATCCTTTTGATCGTTAAATTTTAAAATTACAAATAATCATTAAATTTTATCTAATTTTTACGCTTATTAATGTCACAATGATCATTTCGTAACTTTTGAAAGTTCAGCCACTAATGATCATTTTGAGCATGTAGAGATGCCTCTGATACCTACTCCTATGAAATGAAGGTCACAAAGAATATACAATGCTTAAATCAAACCTGCAAGGTCAACGTTGCATATACGAAGAATGGGGAAGTGGGAAACAACACCGAGAGGTGCAGAAATGGTAAACAATTCGATGCTCCATACATAGATTTCAAAAGCGAGATTGATAATATGAGATGGCTATACATTATCCCAGAAGCAGTGAAAATGATGGATTATCCTATCTTCAGCAATTTGAACTAAAAAATTCACCAATTTGCAGTGGTATATTACCTTCGCAATTTTAACTAATTAATCAGGTTGTAATGGCCATAGAAGAAGGTTCCTTCCGGAATATCTACAAAATAAACAAGTATAACAAATCCCACAACATAAATATTCTAGGGTAAACTACACATTTATACCTAAACTTTCATTTTCTTCAAACTATACCTAATATTTTGTTTTTGTTTCATTTTAGTACCCGTCATTAAAACTTAACGGATTTAATACCTAAACTATCAATTTTGGCCCGTTTTAGTACCTAAAATTTCAATTAAATGAAACAAAATTAAACATTAGGTATGGTTTTGAAAAAATTAAAAGTTTAGGTACTAAAACGGACTAAAATTGATACTTTAGGTACTAAATGTGTAATTTACCCAATATTCAATTACACGCCACAATTTTATCTTCCAAAAGGAAAGTACAATATCTTAAAATCTACAAGAAGTATTTTACCATTCCAGCAAACATACAACCAGCCTCCACATGTCCAATGAATTGTTATAGTCTTGTAATCTACCGAACTTGGGCCCTTTGAAGTACCTGAGAAAGGAGAGAAATTAAATTCCCCAAAACTCAATCCATGCTGTAGATGGCACCATAATGGAAGAACATTCACAAAGCTAATGACGTCTCAAACCATCATCCAAAGAATCTGAGATCTTTAGCAAACTAGATTTTGAAACTAGTACTCTGAACCTATAAACAACAAAAGAAGACGGCACATTCTTGAAGGAGTCCTAGTATGGTGATTCAAATGCATATCAAATCATACCTATCTAATTTCCCCTAGCACAAACCAATTCATACATGGACTAATATTTAACCTTACTTTGGTTTTAATGTCTCGCCATCTCGAAGGAATAACATTCTTGAAAATTAGTGATATTGCAGGTCATGATCTATCATGACATTGTGAGGTTTGATATCTCTGTGCATTATTCCTTGTGAATGACAACCTAAGCCTACAAAGCAAACAAATATTTTCCTATCATCCTATGATGCAAACATAAAACAAGAAATCCTCAAAAAGCTTAAAAAAAGATAGTCAATCGGGAAATCAATCAAGTAATGACTAAAAACTATAAACAATCGGCAAACGAATACCGTGACGGAGTTCATATGAGTGATCACCAAATATGGAGTAACTGCATAATGTTACCTTGTGGAGTTCATATGTAGTAGCGAAATCATGGTCTGTCAAAGTAGGATAGAGAACTTTGAAATCCCTACTCGAATATTTTTCAAATCTCGATAATATAATTAAGTACTAACCTTCTTTTTTCTTGACAGGATTCAGGATGTTGATTATACAGCGTTTCACTGTTATTGACATTTATGCCTTCGAAGACCTCACTGTATTTTCCCCTTCCAGCTTTCCGATCAAACCTCATAACCATCTTGATCACTAAAACGGAATGCAATAAAGCAAAAACAATATAAGAGAAATTTCAATTCACGCCGATCACAAACCGAATCGAACAGTTAACATCGGGATTACATTTAAAAAGTTACAGAAATGCTCAAGCAAGATTGGAAGATCTAGTTAATCGAAGCTAGTTACATAATTTTAATTCGTATCAGGCATAAGATTGAAGGAACTATTCAAAGAGTTTACTCCCACTGAACAGTGAGGGACTCGTAATCTCAGTATTCCTTGGACGAAAGACGCTGACTCAGCATAAACGCGAGCTTTGGATATTATTGACGGCGGATGGAACAGAGATCTCGTCGATCCTAGTGTTACAGCAACGGTGGCGACCGACGGCGAGGCCGGACGCCAAGCTGGCGAAAACTAGCAAGAGGCGGGATTAAACTGGTCAGCTGGTGTGCGGCGAACAAAAATCATGCACTCAAGAGTAGGCGGTTTTGGCAAAGACGGTTTCGGCTTTTTGAGAGAATGAGGGGGATGGATTTAGGCCATTTTAGCTGCTATGAGCTTAGTTGAGCTAAAGATGTAAATGTATAATATAAGAAGATTTTTTTTTTATTCCTTTAAGTAATAGTAAAACAACAGAAGCGAAATTTTAAAATTAAAAAGACACAAAAATAAATTATTATTAAATACATAAATTAAACTATATCGAACAATCTTAAATGTCATTTAAAATTAAAAAAATTAATATTTAATTTTAAAAATAATTTTTGATAACGTTCAAAGATTTTTCATATAAAATATATTTAAATTATTAATGCCGAATTTAGACTCAATTAGTCTGTTTTGTTTGGTTGTAATTGGTTTTCCGGAAAATGAATTACTGGAATTTGAATTCTGAAAAATGAATTACATCTCTGAAAAACGTTTTCCAGAATATGTTTTTCCGTAAAATGAATTATATTTTTTTGAAAAACATCTGGAAACGTTTTATGATGTTTGGAAGATGTTATTTAAACTTTTTTTCTACTAGTTGAAGAATTTTTAAATTATTTATTACAAATTAAATACAAAATAATATTATTTATCATAAAACTTTTTTATTATTAAAAATAATTTATTTATTATTAAATAGTTTTTTTTATAATTTTATTAATAAAAAATATTAATTTTTGTATATTTTAGTGAAATAAACATATTATAATATTATAAATTATTTATTAAAGTAATAGTGTTATAATATATTTTAAAATATTAATTAGTATATTTTAAATATCTTTATTAAATATTATTTAAATATAAATAATATTATTCATTATTAAATATATAAATTTTTTATTATATATTATTAAAATAAAAAAATAATATCTTATATTATTATATATAGTTAATTATTTTATATAATTTAAAATATAATATTATATTATAAATATTAATAATTAATAAATAATATTTTAATGAAAATGATAGTAAAATATTTTATTAATATTAAATTTATAAAATAAAATTATTTTGAGTATTTATTCTTTGAAGTGAAAAGTTCAAAAAACGACTTACAAAAAATAATCCGTAAGTCATTTTCCAAAAAAAAAATGAAATTTTGTTATTAGGAAAATGAATTACGTTCAGGAAAACTAATTACATGAAACAAATACTGGAAAATATTTTACGGAAAACGAATTACGTGAAACAAACACAAAAATACGAATTACGTAAAAAAACACAAAAATTCGAAGAAAATCAATTCTATAATTTCAATTACGGCAAATAGACATATCCTAAATGATCCTCTTTTAAACTTAGGGAGGTGGGCACTGCAAGAGGAGAATCTGGTGATGTGACGGGT